GATGTAAGTGAATAATAGACAAAGTTGAAATACGTGTACAATAATAACTCGACATGATTGGATTAGTTAACTTATCCGTAGGCTGAGTCAAGCCCTGTTCGCCTCAACAATAAAAGTACACCCTACATGTCCACGATTTTTATTCTGTCATAAGAGATGTGAGAATTGTAGTTAAAATGACTGCATACTCTGTAGTCTCTCAATCTTTATTATACCGTGAATTTCAGGGTACTATCAATCGTAGTATTCCTGCGTCAACTGGTCAAAACCAAAGTGAGTTGTTATTCGTGTGTACATGAAACTCAACAAATGGTGTGTTTTCTGTGAAAATTAGCTATTTCATTTATTTAGTTGATTGTTTTACAACAAACTTAAGTCACATTGATTTACAACTAATTACACAACTTCAATACTGTTTTTGATAGTTTATGAGATATTTTTCCCATTTCTATTCATTCTCATTTGTTTTTTCGGCAGCATATTTTTATTTGATAAATATTCGTTTCTCATGTATTCGCTAGTTGTTATAATGTCCGAGGAGGAGAAAGCTCAAATCTTATCATCGGATGCTTTTCTACGGTTTTTTGAACGTTCTTCACGTATAATTGAACGAGCTATTTGTTATTCAGATGAAGGTATCTTTTTGGATTATTCCGGTGAAGATCGTGAAACTGAAGAGTACGTTTGGTTTATCATGAATTATGTTGTTAATCTTTGAACAAAGTAGTAATTTATAAATACAATTCAGTCATACAAGTATGCTTAGGTTTAGAGTTTTTCTACCAGATTCCTCATACATAAAATCAAACTGAGTCCATCTTATTTTATATCTTCAATTATATACCCTCACAAAAAATGTTAACCAAAGAATATTTTATTATTGACATGGCTCTAATTAAACAAACACTACTTTCTTGGACTAACGCTATGTTTACTTGAAGAATATATGTCTCTATGCTGTACTGTTATAATGTGCAGTATCCGGTAGCTGATACGAACACTCACTTCCTATAAACAAACTAAGCTACTCTTGAAAAAAAGCCTGGGGTTTGTAAAAAGAAATGTATTTAATTAACCAAGTCAAGAAACAACTGTACTCTGTGTGGAATGATTTGTAATATCTTGCTTAGTGTTGATATTTTCGACTGAAATTTGTTCAGTTTTGTTTGGTATATGGGTATTCTGTGCTGATTGATTAAGTATATCCATTTGGAGAAACGTCAATACCTGATGCAGCAGTAGTGTATTTAGAGAACATATAGTTTACCAACAGAATGTGTACACTTTATCTTCAGACTTCAAGTCACCAAACAAGCAGATTATTGGTTGTCTTCTTTCATATATCTTCTGGTCTTCAAAGCACTTTGATTGCGTCATACATTCGGATCTGACACTATTCTTTCCAGTGTTAACTTCTACACGACACTCTGCCGCATACTACTTATAAGCCATGTTGCAGATAGTATCCGCTACACTGATTTCGAGTCCTAGAGTAAACATTAACTGTGCCATGCAGACACATGCAGCTGACGAGTCCCAAGTAAGACGAAACGCGCGCCTTGGATTCTACTACTGAATACATTCCATCTATCCTATATCAACTGTACACTGATCTATATGTTTCCTGCCCTTAGGAAATCAATCCACGGAGAAAGTTTTATCTTAAAAATTCTCAGAAGTTTGTTATCATTTTTCATCAGAATAGTTTGACATGGATATATAGTAGTGTGGACCAACTTCTGACTGATTAATAACCTACAATATAACACGTTTATTATTATCTTGGTTCCGAACTCAATTACACCCTAATATAAGTTTAGGATGAAGCTGCAGAAATCAGAATAATTTTAACAAATGCTGTTTGTAAGTTAGTAGCTTATTGTGTTGTTACTTCTGCTACAAATTGGACACTTCAATTGATTACATCAGAAAAGGAGTCATTCAGTGACTGCAAACTTCTTCAAGTGGTATAACTCGATATCGTTCAAAATAGCTCTGATGCATTCACTAATTATTTTCCGCTTAATTTTGCTCTTCAGTATCCCTTCATATATGTATAACCTTTTCCACTGTGTACTACATTATGTCAATCTCAATTGTTATTTTCATCTTGTGCTAATCTGGTCTGATAACTTAAGCTAACGCATATTTTGTACTGCTTTTTTACAAAATAATATTTTAGATCTGATGAATTGTTAACTGTATTGAATGAATTTTTCGATGAACGATGGTCGAAACATCGTACAATTACCGGTTTAGATTGGTCAACTATATTTCCAGAATTATTACTCACCGCATATCATATGAATGAAGAAGCTGTACATGAACCTGAAGGTGTTTGTTTAATGTGGAATATGAAATATCCAAAGAAATTAACACCGGAATTTATATTTCATTGTCAATCCCCGGTTACATCGGCTAGTTTATCACGTTTTCATCCGAATATTGTAGTTGGTGGTACGTATTCTGGACAAATTGTTTTATGGGATAGTCGGTAGGTTAGCCATATTTATATATATATAACTTAAAGATGTTCTGATTTAATAAAGCTATCTTAAATTCATATAGAGATGATTGAGTTTTAACTTTGAATCATGTTCTATCTACTTCAGTTTAAGATATAGCATGTACACACTTAGACTGAAACTTTTGATTCCAGATACATAAATCATCTGTGTCTGGTAATGGTTACAATCCGACTTAGATTGATTTTAGCTTTATGTGTTCAGGTTTAAGCGGTTGATCATGTTGACGTTTAAGTAATATTCCCATTCATTCACATAGTTGTAAATATACCCTGCAAGACAGTTAGTTTACATCGATTTTCAAGAGAACCATACACTACCTAGTCTTTTTATACTATGATCCAATTAGCACTGATCAATCTTGTGGTGCAACTACACAGGTGCTAAGATCTTCACATGCATCGTACTTACCCGTCTCTTATATCCTTACTGAATTATGGACTATAGCCTAGATTTTGGATATATTGATATTACTCTTCTGTTTACACTTATATTTGATGCATTTTTAATTAGGTCGATGACTTAGTGGCCAAAGGGTTCGATTGTCAACTGCCTTAGTCACAGGTTCAAATCACTTTCCTGTCCACTTCTATCCGATCGGCTGGATAGGATCACTAGCACTCACGCATAAAAGTTCAACGCAAGGTCGAGTACACCAGTCAGTACTTGATGAACAATATACATTGTCATATTTATAAATGATATTTTCTCTCTTTTCAATCATAGTGTTAATAAACGAACACCAGTTCAACGCAGTCCACTAACATCATGGGCTCATACGCATCCAGTATTTGCAATCACATTGATTGGTACTCAGAATGCTCACAATATCATTAGCTTAGGATCAGATGGTTCATTATGTGCATGGAGTTTGGAAATGTTAGCACAACCTAGAGAGAAAAGTAAAGTTTGTGAAATGTCTTCCGGTGGTCTGTTTGATCTTTATCCTACATGTATGTCGTTTTTTGCTAATGATGTGAATAATTATGCTGTTGGTGCGGAAAATGGTAATGCGTATTGTGGACAACGGCATAGCAGGTAATAATGAATTATTATTATTATTATCATCATAATTATCTATCTATTTGCTTTATTTTAATTTAATAAGTAACCTTATTCAGCCTACGTCATTATAAGTAGATGTTTAAATTATCCTGTTTTTAATATTCATTACTGAATTCCTGAATCCATCACTGCTAATCATAATCCATTCTATCCTAAAGAACTTACCAACAATGATTATTATACGTGCTAAAAAAAAACTTGGCAGCTATTTAAACTCAAAACTCATTGGATAACATGTTGGCGTTCAAGGCAAGAAGTAGTATGTCCGGATCCCGATGTAAACACCAACACGCAGGTGATAAATAATGAATAGAATGTAACACTCGTCTTAAATCCCACTACTAACGACAATCCATCGATTATAAACCAATCAGGTCCATAGAAAATCGATGGGACATTGCTGGCGCACTGGAATCCAGGGCATGCGTTTCGTCCCATTTTTCACTTGTCAGCTGGCTGTATCTGCATCTCATAGTCCATGTTCCCTTCGGGACTCGAACCCAGTACCGTTCGCTTCAAACGCTACCTAAGTTCAGATAAGCATTCCTTTGTGCAAGAGGGATGAGAATCAGTTCACTCACTTTGAAATGTTTTAAATTATTCGATTTTATTGATATTTTGATTGAGATTTGATCGGCCTTTGTTGGCATATGGACATCGTGTGCAGATTGCCTTGATATATAGCCTTTATGATACAAGTTTATGCAGAATAGGATCGAATGTAGCTAACTATCTATTCATTTGCATTAAGTTTTTTTATAATCAATAATACTATACAATATGTAAGCAATACCAAAAACTAGCTATCATACAGTCATTTAAGGCAAATATCATGAATTCATTTTTATTTCGTCCGATTCCCAACTAGCCGCTCGTAACCTGTAATACATAAAAATCAACAATTTCAAAATTGATTGACATTTGTATGCATGAAAGAGTTTAGTCATAAAGTTACTACTGCATAATCGTCATAGATCAGTATAGTAAAGCAAAGATTTTAACTAACATTTCTTTACTACTCTTCCAAATAATGTTGTTGATTTTTTTCGATCAATGATTGCTTGACATTGATTTGAATAAAAGCTATGTATATATTCAAGTATAAAGTAATTTTTCTTTTCGATGAAGCGGAGCACCAGCTCTCTGTTGAATGTATGACGACAGTGTGAGCACAGAGATGTACTTGTCAATTGAAATCCAATAGTAGAAGAGGTAGTAAAGGTATTAGAAGTAATCGGAGAGGTTAGGATTAGAAGATATTTTTCAAGAAGTATGATTAAATGAGAAAAGTTTAGAAAGTCAAAACTAGAGCTGTTGAAGAACCCAGAAGATTAGGATTTGAGAGAACACAAAGAATAAATGCACCGGTGCCATTGCGAACGATTTTGAGCCATGTTATTCAAGGTCTCTAACCATTGGTGACTTTCGTCTCACGGACCCCAACCAGGTAATCGACAATTACCGACATGGTTAAGTCCACTCGTCAATGACTTCATAGATTTGTGCCATGTTTCGGTTTGGCCGCCCCTAACTTTCCTCCAACCTATTCCTACACTACAAAACAAAGCTCGTCGAGGCAGTCGGTGGTTGGGCATACGCAACACACGTCCCAGCCACCTCAACTGATGAAGTTTCATCACTTCATCGATTGATCTGACATTCTTACCTAGCACCCGTTTTCTAATAACAGCGTTGCTCACTCGGGTGTCCCACGGTATACGAGCAATGCTTCGAAATCACCTATGATCGAAAACCAGTAACGTACGAATATCTTCTACTCTCACTGGCCATATTTCACAGCCATAAAGTAAGACGGAGCGAACTACTGCGCAGTACACTCGTCCTTTAGTCAGCGAACGGATATCTCGCCTACGCCATAAGTGACGCAGGTTGGCAAAAGCCGATCGAGCCTTCTGTATCCATGCTGAGTTTCCGTCAGTTACCAGGCCATCAGCACTGATGAGACTTCCAAGATAAGTGAAGTGGTCTACACGTTCGACTTCTTCACTCCCTATCACTAGTTCAGGTGCCGATGAAACCCAATCTTGAAGCAACATTTTGCATTTCGATGGGGAAAACCGCATCCCGAACATGCTCGCACTCCTGCTTAGGGTGGTCAGAAGACTGTGCATTTTGTCAGCGTCTTCACCAAGTAGGACAATGTCATCGGCATATTCTAAGTCGATAAGCGAGCCTCCCGGTAATAGGTCTACTCCTGAAAATGCAGACGAGGATAAGGTTATTTCTAGGAGCATGTCTATGATAAAATTAAACAAGAATGGAGAAAGTGGACATCCCTGACGGACACCACTTGAAGTAAAGAATTCCGGTGACAGTTCGCCATAAGCTCTCACTCAACCAGTGGTGTTCGAGCAGAGAGCTTGTATAAGGTTAATGTACTTCTTTGGTAAACCTTTCAATAACAGACACTGCTACAGAACCTAACGATCCACACAGTCGAATGCCGCTTTTAGGTCCAGGAAAACAACTATTGTAGGACGACTAAATGTGTGTCTGTGTTGCAGGAGCTGTCTGAGTGTGAAGACGTGGTCTATACAGCCGCGTCCAGGTCGAAAACCAGCCTGGTTTTCTCGAGTTTGCTCTTCACGAGCTTTCGTTAAGCGCCGAATTATTACTGAGGCCAATATTTTAGAAACTATATTTGTTAGACTGATTCCCCTGTGATTGTCACAAGAAGACTTTTGTCCTTTCTTATAGATTGGGACAATCAGTGATTGAGACCAGTCGGATGGGATAACGTCCAGTTCCCAGATTCTACCTAAGATATCAGTCTTCTTAGATGCTAAAACTGGACCACCATACTTAAATATATCAGGGGTCGGTCTATCATGACCCGCAACTCGCCCTCGCTTCAGATTTCCTAACGCTTTCTCAACGTCATTAAGACTAGGGGAACTTACGTCGACTTGCCATTCAGGATGACTGGAGATCGTGGGTAACCGAAGAGTGGATCGAGGCCAGTTGAATTGATCCCTAAAGTGTTCTGCTCATCGATCCAGTCTCCTGGATTGAGAATAAATAATAGTCCCGTCATTTTCTGGGATAGTCTCACTTACACTAGGATTCCTAATACCAGTTTCCTTGATAAGTTGGAAAAGTTGTCTACTGTTGCCTATCGCCGCTGCCTTTTCCATCGCTTTTGCTTTCGCCACCCACCACTGTTCGCGATCGTTACGTAGGCTTTTTATAAGTCTGCGCCTAAGCTGACTTCGTTCTTCGTCATGTTCAGAGTCAGGTGGGATGAGTTTTCGGGCATCCATTAGATCGGTGGATGCTACTGAGATCCACGTCTTCATTCTAGCCTTATGGTCAACCTTACTAGCAGATATCACTGCTGTTTCCACAGCCTTTTTGATATCATTCCAACCTGCTTCCGGATGGGAATCGCTTAAATGGTCGCCTAACTGTCTTTCTAGTTGTTCCTGAAATATATTTTTCGCCTTATTATCGTTAAGTAAAACCCTAATAGGCTTTCTTACGGTGTCTTTCCTACGCCTAGTAAGCTTCAAACAAATACGCGCTCGCACCAGGGCATGATCTGAATCTAAACATGTGCCCCAGAACGAGCGACAGTCTTCTATCGAACCCCTCCATCGGTGGCTGATGGCGATGTGATCTAGTTGGGTCCAACGTCGAGACGACTTTGGAGGTCGCCAGATCAACAGATGCTTTTCCTTATGCCTACAGTTAGTCTTTGCTAGAAATAGGCGGTTGTCTTAGCATACTTGCAACAGACGGTCACCATTGTCTGTTCTCTGAGCCGCGACACCATAACATCCACCTAGGTGTCTTTCATTTTCACTTAGTCTACCTACTTGAGCATTAAAGTCACCAGCCATTATTACTATATCAGAGCGCCTAGCTTCTTGGGGGAGGTCCGAAAGCTTTCTGTAGAACTCATGTTTCAACACGTCTGAACTGTAGTCAGTGGGTGCATAGGCAGATATGACGAAGAGGCAACGGCGAGTGTCCCTATCCTTACGAGTCCTTACTGTTCTTTTCAGTCGGACAGCTCACAAGCGACTATCTACTGGGATCCAGTCAAGGAGAGATTGTTCAGCTCTACGACTCAATGCTATGCGTACGCCAGCAAGACCCCGGGAAGTAGCATTAGGGCTTCCAGATACACGAAGAGTAAATCGAGCTGCTTCTTTATTTTGACAAGGTGAAATCAGATTAATTTTACTAGGATCCTGTATGCGCGTTTCCGAGAAACAGCATACATCGATGGGACGAGATTCTAAAGTCCTAGCTAATGATGCCTGTTGCCCTATTTGACACAAAGTCCGTAGATTAAAAGCTCCAACATGTAGTCTAGAACGAGGTTTCAAGAGACCAGGAATGACGTTTCGTGAACTCGCGTCGTTTGCATCAGCGGTGCAGTCAGATAAGGGAATGTGAATAAAGTTAGTTGTGGAGAGAAGAGAGATATGTGTGGGTGTAGGAAGGATTTGATTTCGATTCTTGAGGGACCTGAAAAGGAAGATAGATTAGTGGAGACCTGGGAGCGTGACCGCAGAGTCCAAGGGACAACTGCTTGAGGCCGGTCACGCACGGCCTTTTTATGAAAGGTTTTTTGAGGATTAGCTCCGTTCTTAAAGGCCCTTAGTGGGCACCCTTACCGTCGGAGACGGAAATTCGTGAGGTAGGGTGAGATGTGACAATTTCAGGGTCGACCATTGCTAACCCTTCGTTCCTTGTGAGAAGGCAGCATCGCTGCAGATGCTGGTTGTCCGAAGGAAACACCTTACTGCTGTCAGACCCCTACAGTCAGCAGTACGACTTCGCCCTCAGACCTTGAGTAGCTGCTTTTAGTCTCATCGTTCTCCAATCGACCTGCCTGGCATTGTAGAACCTTCAGGAACATAAGTTCCAGCCAATATAGCTCGGTTAGGTCATCACGATAGGCAAGCCCGATCACCACGTCAAGGTAGCAGCTACGGTCGGTTGGTATGACAACCTGAACTGATGTACTTACGTACGAAGTTCTGCGTTGTATCTATCTTAATGTTGATCATAGTTGTAATATCGATGACTCATTATTATATAGGCAAACAGATTTCAACATAGTCTGTTATCGATTAGGAGTGAAAGGTATCCACCTCCATGAAACACATTCAAATTCTTTCTGGAATATAAATTATAAGAATTCTAGTGTTTTTCCTTCTTAATTTTTTCTATTTGTTTAAGTTTATTGGAACTTGCAAAAAAAACAACTAGTTTGACTAAAAAGCCCTAATTTATTATTTTCGAAATATATAGTATCATGCTTTCTTAATAAATTAAACTGATAAATTCTATTCATTCTTCCAGTCGTACAGGTGTTGCAGAAGAAACTTCACGTCATGTTCCATACAAAGGTCATGGTGCACCATTGACAGCTATCTCTACACATCCTAGTCCTGGTGCTTTTAGTTTTTCATCTCTGTTTCTCACTGCATCATTAGATTGGACTGTACGTTTATGGTCTACACGTGAACATAAACCACTGCATACATTTGATGATTATTCTGATTATGTGTATGATGTATGCTGGAGTCCTGTACATCCAGCTGTATTTTCCGCTGTTGATGGTACTGGAAATTTAGATGTATGGGATATGAATCAAGATGCTGAAGTAAGTGATTGTTTACTTACTTAGAACTTGTATATAACTATCAATATAGGGTTATGCAGATTGTTGAGTGCCGTAGACATCATGAACCGATGAGCATTAGTCCTGGATGGCCGTTTTGTTCTCACGCGAGACCGAAGGTCCGGGGTTTGATTCTTACTTGTGAGGTTGTGGTGGATGGTCACCGTTCGCGGCTTCTAGGTTTTCACTGGTAGTCTGTCATTTATTGGTTCATACTGTGTATCCTAACTATTTTGATCTTAATAATGAGAGCTTCACTGTTGAAAACATTTTGTGAATCAATTGGTATACTGTATTAATTTTGATTGATTGATTTGAGTGAATATTATTTAACTCTTGAATCTTAAGCTACAAATATACTTCTAATTTTAGAGACTTCGATGGTCTAATACTATTATCATAGGTTGTTCGATTCACTCAACTTTCTCTCATATTCAAAGACGTATTCGGTACCATCGAACGATAGGATGGCATTTCTTCTCAGTCACAGTTTTCTCATGTAAACTCTGTTAAACCAATGAGTTTTCTCTTATCGTGCAAATTGAAATTACGAAAGAACTCATTGTAAACTTAATATGCAATAGTACATAATTAACAAAAACGTAATATTACAAATAATAATTGAACATTAGGAATTTGTGATAGAATTTCTATACTTAAACGTAGAGTTATGACGTACATATACAACTAACTTATTTATTTCATAACATGTAAAAAAAAGAAAATTTTTTTTAAATATCTGAATTATTAAAAGAAATGCACGATAGTTTTCCAATCAACAATGTGTTCTATAAGAAAACTGTGAATATCTACAGAAAGCTAAATGAGAAAATATAACCATTATGGGAAATCACATGATCGCATGAGATGGAATTTTAAAAAGGTAACTGGAACGCAATAAACTAGATTGAAATGTGTATAGAACACGTGGTGATATAATTGTTAAGAACTGGTGTCTGCATTCAACTATATCAGTGGTAGTTTTAACTGAATGCATTTTAAAAAAAGGGATTTTTTTTTCTGTTATAGAAATTGTTATATTGTACTGAATTTATTCAAGTCACGTTTTAGTACAATCCGAATCAGTCAGTCAGTCAGTCAGATACAACGTGGAACTTCGTACATGAGTACATAAGTTCAGGTTGCCATACCACATTAGCACATAGACGCAAGTGCCAGTTCATATCCCATAGTGGTAGAGATAGTACAAGTATTACTGCTAATGGAGAAGATTAGGGTTCGATGATATTATTCAAGAAGTATAATTCAGTGAGATAAGTTTAGTAGAGTGGATGCACCTGCCTTATTGCAAGTGATTTTGAGCCATGTCGTTCAAGGTCGCTCACCATTGATGACTCTTGTCTCACGGACCCCAACCAACATGACTCAGTGTACTTGCCAGTGTCTTCATGAATTTGTGCCATGTTTTAGTTCGACCCCCCTAGCTTTCTTCCAACCTATTCCTACACCACAACATCTCTCGACAAGGCAGTTGGTGATAATGATAGTTCTCTGTAAACCATGTATATTAGAAACTTAAGTTTAACGGTAAATTGTCATATTTGTACAATAGCTGATACAAATTTATCGTACAACTGTGTAAAGTAAAATGTTTCCTAAATCTCATCAAGTGCATGAACTCTGCTTACAGGCTTCCCATCATAGATTATTACAATGATACTCCATACACAGTAGTTCCTCACTGTTTATTCGTACAGAACAGACAAAATAAATGAGCATACTACAAGTAATAACTTACTAATATATTATGCATACTCACTACAGAACGCTCCGTATAATGTGAACTGTGCACAAACGATGATGAGCACCCGGGAAATTTTTTCTGGGAGCATGGCTAATCGCAGAGCTGTCGTCGCTAATGAGTTTCCTCACTGTGATACCAGACAACACACTATCACGAGAAAAGGCTAGAAACCTTCTAATACGGCAGAATGTCTCTGGAGCTAAACGTTCAAAGGCTACTTTCATCCCCTTCAAAGACGCATTCGGTACCACAAACTGTAGGGTAGCATTTCTTCTCAGTCACATATATATGTGCTGTCAATTTCAATGATGCGTGCTCGTGAACAACGCATGGTAAATCATGGTTATGAGTGTTTGACCATCTGGCTACGTTGAACTTTCCACCTGCTATACGAAATCAGACATCCACAACCAATAGCTTACCTAATTTTTTATATACACTACGTTCAAAATTACATGCCTTCTTGTTGATGAAGATGTGTTGGCTGATGACGATGCGTTTTCGTTCCGCAGATAATTTAATATAAAAATCGTCCTCTTTCTAATGACTATCCCAGATAATGAAAGGACCGAAAGCTTGGTTGCCGTAACTGTTAATTGTCGAAATAACTCTTCTTCAGTTGGAAATCCAGCACCTACAAACCTCTCGGAAAATTCTTAGCTTCGTTGTTCGATATAAATATGTGAAACGACATGACTGCGATAATAAGATCTGTGAAATGCTACTCCTTTGCAGCCTACCAGTCTATATTCATCACGAATCAGGTTCTCAATTGGATGGTTATAAATACGTGCTTGATTGATCGATGGGTAAGGGAGGCAGTGGTACGTAGAAATACAATTTCACACCCTTAAAAAATCTAGATCCTGTTGACAGTATCTCTCCCCTACTTGATTTACTTCAATTTAGAACGGCCAAGTGATAAATATTATTAGCTTTCATACAAATATTCGGATTCCAAACAGATTCCTGCACCTGATGATGGAGTTGTATCAATTAAAATCAATGTGTTAACAGTTTAATGTGAATCAATTTCTTTATTTCTGTAAACCTTAATGAATGCAGCTTAATTTACTTTATAGTTTCTATTCAATTGGTGATGTTTCACTATGCAAAGTTTTTCTAACGTCAATGTACGATTTCTTCCAACTGAGTTATTCGTTACCTAGTTTTAAAGTTGAGGTTAAATTTCTCTCATTTCCCGGAAATCAATTGTAATACATTTCTCAAGATTTTATAACCCAGCAAATATTCGGGGAGTGGTTTTATTTTTGTAACTATTTTACAGTTTATTAATATATACATATATGTTTGCGACGTTTGACTCTGTCGATTGTGAAGTCCTGTGACTATATGTCATTAAAAGGTGTACCAAAGAAGTACATTAACTTTATACAAGCTCTCTACTCAAACACTATAGGTCGATTTAGAGCTTATAGCAAACTGTCATCGGAATCGATTGCTTCAAGTGGTGTTCGTCAGGGTTGTCCTCTCGCTCCATTGTTGTTTAACTTTGTCATTGGCATGCTTTTAGATATGAGACTTTAATCATCTGTCTTTTCAGGAAGTGACATTCCACCAGGAGATTCACTGGGGACTTGGAATATGCCAGTGACATATTTCTGCTTGTTGAAGACGCTGACGAAATTCAGTCTTTTGACGGACTTAAGCAAAATGCAAACATTTTTGGGTTGAGATTCTCCCACTCAAAATGAAAAATGTTGCTTTAGGAATGGCTTGCCTTGGCACCTGAACTAGCGATGGGGAGTGAAGTAGTTGAGCGTGTTGACCGCTTCACTTATCTTTCGGGTCTCATCAATCCTGATAGCCTGATGTGTCAAAGTCTCATCACGGATACAGAAAGCTCGGTTGGCTTTTGCCAACTAGCGTCATTTATGATGTTGGCGAGATACCCTTTTACTAATCAGAGGACGAGTCTACTATGTAGCAGTTCGCTCCATCCTACTATATGGCCAGTAAGAGTACAGGATATTCGTAGACTGTTAGTCTTCGATCAAAGGTGTATTCGAAGCATTCCCTGTGTATCTTGGCACCGTGAAGTAAGCAATGCTGCTATTAGAAAAAGGGTATTAGGCAAGGTTGGTAGTGAATGTTCTTCAGTTTAGGTGGTTGGGACATGTGTTACGAATGCCGAACCACCGACTGTCTTGGCGTATTGGTAGACTAGGAGAGAGCCAAGGGCGGCCAAATCAAAACATGACACAAATCCATGAAGTTAATGACAACTGGACTGGGCCATGTTTGTAGGTGTATCACTGCCAAATTGGGGTTCGCGAGACAGTCGTACCTGATGGTTAAAGACTTTGAATGACATGGCTCAAAGTCGTTTGTAATGGCGCAGATGCATCCAGTCTTTGTCTACGCTAAATTCTGATTTGAATTCCTCATGACTTTATTTTTCTTTTTAAGTTTATTTCATTGAATTATGCTTTTTGAATAATATCTTTAAAGTGTGATCTTTTTGATTACCGCTACTACTTCTACTACTATGGGATTGGAATTAACAATTCAATCTCACTGTGGTAATGTGATGTGGTGATTTGAACTGACGTATGTATGTACCAAGTTCTATATTGTGGCTGACTGACGCATATATTTGTTGTATAATCGTTTAAATAAACTAATTGTTGCATTTCTATATTCTTAGTATTTATGGTTTCATTAAATATTGTTAAACTTCTTTCTATTACTAAATTATTTTTAATTAATAATACGTTGCTTTTCATATTCTTCTATCATCCTTTAACATGTCTATATTATAAACTGTGACTTCTCATTTTCTGTAGTTTTAGTCTACTAATTCATATATATATATATATATATATATATATATATATATATATATATATATATTCATGAATGTAAGAGTTATGAAGACTGAATTAATGAATGAATATACAAGCTTGCTTGTTCCTGTTTTATTCAGATTCATTACTGAGAAAAGTCGTGCTTCCTAATCGAATAGTTGTATAGTCCAAATCATGATTGCCTCAAGATCGAACGTTTTCGGTCGAAGCTTGCAACTGATCAAAACTTAGGGTGTGTTAGTCTATGAACGAAATAAATATACTTGGGATAGACAATTATGGGTCTGTATTCTGATTGATGAATCTTTTCTAGTAATAGAGTTAGGTACAGGCCACTGTAGATGGATAATTGATTTATGAGTTGTCGTTATTTTATGAGCATTTCACTGAATAACGTAGCGCCTCAACTTACATACTCCCACTCTGAAGCTTCACAGTTTTACCACGGAAAAATATATCTGGCCAGTGTAAATGTCATGGTACTCGAAATGACAATAAATAAATACACCGTTCATACAGCAACACAATGTCCAGTTAAAATGAACAAATAATTCCTGACTGACTCCTTGCATTACTGTTAGATGTGTGAAAAATGTACTGTATGAACAATGTTCGAACTAGAACTCTTCACAAACAATCTTACATGACATATCTATCCCCTACATTAATCATTTGTTTCTCTATCAGGCTGACCGTGTCCGTAAACTAGGATGAATTCTGTGATTATTACTTTCAGAATATATATTATTACTGTTACAGAACATGACCCGACTGCCATTTATATCAGTCTCAACCAGTTAGTTAATCCACGTTCGTCATTGTTTACATTGACGGTATGCTATGAATAAATCCGTGTTTGGTAGTTTTATTTTTAATTATCTATATCACTTTGACAACAGCCTAGTTATTTAACTAAGGTTTCATTAACAATTATTCTAAATAAAGTTTTAAAAGTTGGGCGATGAATTCTTGAGTTTTGCTTAACCTGTAGAGTTATCTTATTACATTGTTTTGACTTGTTTGTTTCGCTTCAGGTTCCTGTGGCTCGTCGCAAATTGGGAATATCAAGTAATGTCGACACCTCTTCATCGTCATCATCTGGTCTAGTTGGTGTTGCCTTAAATAAATGCCGTTGGAATGTTGCAGGTACACATATAGCTGTTGGAGATGATACCGGTCGTGTTACTATTTGTAGTGTTCACGAAAGTCTTTCTCAACCTGTTACTGATGACTGGTCTAGTTTTGCACATGTATTGGCTGATCTTAAACACTATGAAACGGAGCCCGAAGTAGAAACCGAAGCATAATCTTGTTTCCGGACATGGTTTTGATTTTTTTTTTTACACTTCTGTTAGTCATACATACTTCTTTCTATGTAGTGCTAATCAATCAGCTTCAATTTCGTTTTGGGATGTGGTAATTGAAACGGTATTTGTAAGCTGACATAAACATATTTCCTCTTCACGACATATATGAAGTACTTTGGTACTGGTATTAGAAATAACTTCAAATGGCTGTGTTGAGTTCCCTTTGAAAAAATATCTTTTATTACTTATATTTTGGTTTATTTTAACTCTATCAAATTATGTAAACAATTTAGGATAATGGTGTGCAATGGAGTTTTTAATCTCTTCACTTTTATTTGACTATCTTTACTTGTGATAATTCTGGTTAATTTAATAATATTTTGTCTTATCACTTTACTTTCTATGCTTCTAACTGATACTTAATTTAAATATAGCTGAAAAATTATTCGTTATCTACGCTTTCCTTTGTTATGCTTATTCATCATTAATATAAGTGTGGGAGATCATTTGTAAGTATCTAGTCGAAATCGTAATCTGTCCTGTAACACTTATTTCTGGGTTAGAATTTTCTAACCAACTAACACTAGTGGTATCGAAAGAACAGGGTGAGGCTAGCTGTATATTCAGAATAATTTTTACTTGTAGGATGTAATTTCAACTTGTATTAGATTTCGTTTTCCGCTGTAGTTGCAAGAACTTGCTACCAGTTTGTATGCTGTATTTTACGGTTAGTCTGCTTTTGCCTTTGCCCCTGAACCTCTATGCAAATATGACGTTCCTTTTGGCTTTAATGCATATTTACAGCTTGATTATGTGTACGAACATATAGGTATTGACTGTTGCCACCAGATTTTCGTTATGGTTTCACTGAGCGTCTTTCTTTCAACACACCCTAGTCATGTTCCCTTTAAACAAAATCTCACTGTGCCAATAACTGGGGAGATAGAAAATACATATTGATGAGTGATATAAAACCTGGGCAACTCGCATTTAATGGTAAAAAAAATAGGTGATATAACTCTTGGCAACTATTCAGTTACTTGGAATATGACTCTGAGCTCGGTATTTATCCACTCTCGAGGCACTCAAACAACGGAGTCGCAATATATGGTATTTTCTATCCCCTAATGAATGGTTCATTTTACACCCTTCTACTTATAAACCTGAATAACGGTATCCCGAAGTAAAAGCAAGGTAGTTTTCAAACTTGATTGTAAGACCAGTTGGAAACGAATTACCATATAAAAGTCTTTGTAGTTCCGGGATTGCTAATGCGAACAGACTAACAGGATAAAGGTTTACAGTTTCTTGTTCTCACTGCTTTTATTTTAATCAGGAGGCACAGTAAATTGATACGAACGGTTGAAGATTGAACATGCTAAAATCATACAAGCTTAAGGAGAGTGGACGTAACTAAACTCGAAAATATTCCCATTTGCTAGATATATTACAGTGAAACAATACCTGGTTTGCCTAAATTTCTTTCTTGGTTTATTCATAACGTGTGGACGATTGATGCACCTATAGAATTCGACTTCTATAAAAAACCAAATTTTTCCATAGTTATCAAAAACTTATTCGTAAATCCAATCCAATTTTGGCACCTAGTAACATTCATAACGAGGTTTACTATGAATATTCAATATCTTGGTGGTTCCAACAGCAAAATAGCAGACCGAAAGAATGTATCTGAAGATGACCATGGTCAAAAAACTGACAAGTTCGAAGTCTCATTAAAATAAACATCCAAAACTCAATAAAGTCAATGATATTTCCGACAAGTTGAAAGTTAAATGAGTATCATCAGTTACCAGGAAAAGAGTAGCGTTTTTGTATGATACTCAGTATCGAGACTAATTTATTCAAATCACCGCCTGGAATGAATTTCAATTTAGCCCATGCTAATTTAATTGAGGGACATTGTGCTCAGTAAATACATGTAATACTGCCTTCACTTTGTCGAAAACATGTTTCAAATCTTGAAACGTGCTGGATATGAAAATGATGGGAAAGCTGATTCTGAAGTTGCAGTAGAATGCGGAATCCGTCATAAGTGGCGGTCAAACACCGTTTTTTATGGTTAAGCGAAAAGGTCATATTGCGTCTCTTGGTCTCATACTTAAAATTACAACTAAGTTTCTGAATCGGGTGAGATCAAAAGTAGTAAATCAGTTAATTTTATGGTTTCGTGTATCATATTCACTATAAACAAATCTTGACAAAATTGAATAATTCTTAGTTGTCCTACGTCCACTCCTCTTGCTGATATTCATTAATGATCTGTTAGACAAAATTAGCTCAACTGCACTTATCTACGCAAACATCTGTAGGTCCATAAGAGGCGAAGAGGATTGGACAGAGCTTCAAAAGAGAGAAATGGGCGGTAAAAAACGGTTTTAAACTAAACCAGTAGAAATGTCACATGAAAATGCTGCCGAGTGTGACCCATACAACTTACACCTTTAGTGGAAGTTCGCTCCCTAATGTATCCTCAGAGCGCAAACTTGGTCTAGTGACTCCCGAAAGTCTAGATGTCTGTTTAGAATACATAGGAGATGCAGCCAAGGCTAACACAACAACTTGGGGCTATCATTATAATGTTGTTGTGCTTTTTTTAAACATACCCACCCACACCCTGGGGTTTATAACGTCGTCACATCCCCTTGGATCGAGTGCGGAGACAAGCACCGAAATGGATGACAGGGTTGAAGAATAAAACTCACGAAGATAGACCACACATTTGCGAATATCTCCCCTGGGTTACAGGCGAATCAGAGGTTATATGATTATGCCGTACAACATATTGGGCACGCTTACAGTGATCATATTGCCGAATCATTACCACCACACCCATCGAAGAAATCCTCGAATAACTTCTTATCAGAGAGAGAACACCTGGATCTGTACACACTTTTTCACACTATGAATTGTTACAACTTGGAATGCTCTCCCAGCGTATGTGGCCACACCCACTTCAACGGATAGCTCCAAGAAGTTACTTGATAAATACGCTTTTTCATACTGATCATCACCTCCCTCTTGGACCAGATCTACCTGATGCATGCCTTGATACATGATAGCTGTTTTTATTGCCATTTCTCCAGATCACTAATTTATTCTATCTCGCTTATAAACTTCGTTTGATTTCTCTCACACTTAGCTCCTCTCTCACAAACTGCACTGCCAATAATTTAACTTAATTATCCACATCTTTTCTTAGTTCGGAAATCTTCTTACTAGTATGAGAATTTTCTTTTTACTATTCTCCACATTACAACTAACTGATCTCCGGTCTGGTTATGTGATATCTGTTGGTATCCTCTAACCTACCGCCCTGAAACAAATGTATTCATTCGAATCAAGGGACATAGAAACTCACAATCAACCGATAACTAACTAGAACTAGTGTAGTCGAGTGGCTAGACACATATTCATAGTACAATTCCAAACACCTGGAACCGTACCGAAAGAACAATAATCGAGAGCAAAGAAAAGGTACTGAATCTTGGCGAAGGAAATCTTTTTTCTTCGTTGTGTGAGTTGAAATGTATGATCATTTAATTGTTAACAAGTGAGTAGAAGCAGTGGTAATATTTGTATCAAAGTAGGTTATTTAGAATAGCTTCCATTATAACCACTACAGCTCGGATTGTCATTGCTGTCGATGTCTGAGTTCGGAACAACAATTACAAATGTCGGCAAAGGGCATATCTTACTTTCAGTTAGAAACCATGTTTAATTACCTTAGTATATAAATCGCTTATGACGTCACAAGCCCCAAGGTGACTTACACTAACAACAGTGACTGTAGTTTGATTAGTTTCTATTAAACCTATGAAGTTCAAGATATGTTAGGAATCCTAAAATAGTTCTTGTCAAAATCTCTCTTATCAAGGAGTGTGATCACTATTCTGGAGAGAGTTCAGAGAAATTGTACTTGAGGTAAGGTACTTACATCATTTTTTTCACAAGATATCAAAGAACATTCCTTCACATTATACAGAAAAAAAAGGAATGGTTCTATAATCTCTCTCATCCCTTACCGTAGAAGATCAATGATGCACTGAAATTCTCATATCTCTTTGAATTAACATCATTCAAAATTGGTTTTTGTAAACCAAGGAATTCGCTAAACGAGATTACAATGATAAGACATTCTACTTGATCTACTTGGAGAGACTCGACACTTGGTACGTCTCAAATGCTGTCACATAAGTGCGCGCTTCGAATTTGACGTGTCCTCGCTGAATCTCTTCCTTTTATGGGAAACAATCCAGTTTCAGGATACTTTATCACCCCCGAAGCAATAAAAACTTGTCTCCATTGATTGGTCGACAATCTGAAAACATTTTCGGGCATACCGAAACATTTCAAGTCAGAACCATTGTGCGGTAGGTCTAGCTGCCTCATTCAACTGCTCTTTTTCTAGTTGCTTCTGCAGCATGCATACATCCACTCACTCACAAACACAGAACCTGGGGACAAGTTACTTGATACACGCAAAGTTACTTACTAATACGGTCAAAGGTATAGTTGCAATGTTGGAGTACTTTCAGACTCTATACCTTGTAGTTATATCATATACTGCTAAATTCTTTTTCTATATCCCTTTATTGTGTATCTCCTATCCCAGTTATCTTGGTTTTCACCTCCTAATCTCCCTGGCATCATGATAAGTAATAAGGTTGCTAGTACAAATTACACTATAACAACCAGGAAAAATTATAGAGGCATAAACGCCGGGGTCGATAGTGCACCGAATATCCCAATATCGTGCAAACGGGTTGTTAAAAAACTCAAACCGTCAGTCGATAGTATCCCTATCAGTGTCCATACTTTAGATCACTCAACGCAGACACCACAGAGGAAGCAAGACACCGCTCCTATTCCTAAAAAGACCAGTAAGCTAGTTAAGAATAGGAGAAAAAGACGATCCAAGGCTCAGTCAACACAGTCCAAAGTCCAGAAACAGCATAAGGATGACTGTTTTGCCTGCTCATTACCAGCCGAAATCAGTGACCGTGATTTCGATTTCAACTTCTGTAGTACATGGGTACATTGTCACTGCGACAATACAGTACCTAAAGAGTGCTACGGATTCATGCCCATGGTTCTGGTATATTTGCCCTCGGTGTAGAGTATTTGAAGCATTCACAAAGCCACGGGTTCCACCCAAAATCATCCCCAAAGTCCAAACGACCAAACCGAAATCGCCTGGCAGTAAACCAGTAAAACAAGTGACCAAGGCTACCACTAACCTGCCTAACACACCGACAGAACTGCCGGTTGTTGTTAACCCCCCAGTATCTGTTAGCTATACGAAACAGTGAGTGAACGTGAAGAAGACCATCCCAAAGACCATCGGTCAAATTGTCTAGCCATATCAGGTGTTGCGAAAGCCGACCTATATCTGTGAGACAACAGCAGGGAGGCCAAAATGAACGCACAAAACTGGTAGTTAAACTCGTTCAACCACCGCTG